ATGTTTTTTTTTGGTGTATCCATTTGAGATGAAAAAAAAACTTTATTGTGAATTTGTTGTTGTATTTAGCAGAATTCTGTATACACAAACGTAAATTTTTGAAAAGAAGTCCTATGTTTTTTTTAAAAAGGACCTTGAAATGTATATTCACTCCTTAATTCATTCCAAAAACCTTTTAACAATCATTACTTTTGAACATTTTACCGCTTATAAACTAATATAATGTCCTTTTTCATGGCTCATGTGCCCTAAGTGGTTATTAAATCATCAATCCCTTTGTATGCACATTAAATACTGTTCAATAAAGCATAAAAAAAATACCCTAATCCTAACCCTAACCTTAACGTCAACCCAAAACCTAATCATAATCCTTATATGTTTACTGAGTGTTTCGTTTCAGCTAAAAAGACCACTCAAAATAAAGCATCACCATAATAGTTAGTGCACTAGCTAGCACACTTGCTATTCAAACTACACCAACCGTTTCAAGTTGCCTCTTTCCTTTAAACACAGCATTTACTGCATGCAGCACTTCAGCTCTGTCCATCAGTCTGAAGGGTTTTCTTTAATGAAAGGCCTATTTTGTTGAGCTGTATCAATCCTGACACTGTCACAGGCTGAGAGAGAACGGCACTGCAATGACTGTGCTTGATGGTCGCAAAACCGACCGGCAAAGTCACACAAATATAGTTAGAAACAAACGTTTTTATTCATTTACTGCGTCAATGTTGGCACTTTTTCTCAGCCGAAATTGCACAAGTTGCAAGCCAGTCAACATGTGACTCAAGCATGAGTCCCAGTGTATCTCGCATTTCACCACCACTGGATTTTTCTTCACAATCGACTCAAAGCATCATAACATCTAACATGATTCAGTTTGATAGTGAGTCACTAGGAAATGATTTGATGCATCATAAAATCTCAAATTTCACTACAATTTCACAAATACACTGAACGCACAAACATGACCGGACAAATGAATCACACAGCTGTGGAATCTACATAATGAAACGATACACCAAGCTTTTGGTGATTTTTATCTCTAAAATAGGCCAAGAATTTTACTTTGGCCAGAAAAGGGAAAAATTATTACAGCTGAACTGCCACGTTCACCACTTACTGTTCAGAAATGTTGCCAAAGTACGTCCGTTCTTAAGTCAACAGGATGCCGAGAAGCTCATTCATGCTTTTGTTTTGAGTGGACTGTAATGCTCTGTTCACTGGTCTTCCAAAAAAGTCAATTGAGAGACTACAGCTATTTCAGAATCTGCTGCCAGACTGTTATCGAAAGCTAGGAAGAGAGAGCGCATTACACCTGCTCTAGCTACACTGCACTGGCTCCCTGTATCTTTTAGAACTGATTTTATATACTTTTACTTGTATATAAAGCTCTTGACGGTTTAGCACCTTCTTACATCACTGAATCTCTGTCACTTTATGTCTCTACTCGAGCTCTCAGGCCCCTCACAGCGTGTCTGGTAGACATTCCGATAGTCCCCCGAAATAAATTTGGGAAAGCAGCCTTTGTCTACTATGCACCCAAACCAAAAAGTATTAGAGAGGCTCAGTGGACATTTTTAAATGACAACTTAAGACATTCCCTTTGAATCAAGCTTACAATCGACAAAATGCTTTTTTTTTTTTTTTGCATATATTAATTTTATCTTTCTATTTATTTATTTTATTAAATTTGTTTAGATTTTTATATCTTATTTTTTTCGTTTTAAAAATTGATTCCTTGTTTAAAAGGCTTTGTTGTTTTATTCGTACGACTTCCACTGTTCTATGCATTTTGTGCCCTGTTTCTATTATAACTTGTAACTGTTGGATTCTTTTTTTTTCTTTTTAATTGTTCGATTTTTGATGATCTTCTATCTATTCCTACTGTTGTTTACTTATCTTTCTCTGTGTTTTTATTTCTCTCTGTTGCTTTTACTGTAAAGCACTTTGAGCTGCATTTAATGTACGAAATGTGCTATATAAATACTTATTATTATAAATCATTAATGAGCACTTCCATTTCATGTTTGCTCAGAAACTTCTTTTCCACAGTGATAGAAAACACAGCAGCACACAGAAGAAAAGAATCCACATGCTGATCCATTTTACTGACCAACTTGGACACGCTCGCCAACTTCTCTCAGGCAAGATTTAAAGGAGATGAACACGAACACTGTGAATGGGTCACCTAAGATAGGGTGAATATAACCCAAACAAACACAGAGTTTGGATATCTGTATATTAGAATAACCCCATCCAGGACTAGGCTTGTCCTAAAGCACCTCCACTCAGACTGCATGACCGCAGAAAGGACAGAAAGAGATGTAAACTGTGAAACGTGTCGAGACTTCTGTGGCAGATAGGAGGAACGCTAGTGAGAAAAGACATCGCTCTAAAAACAACTCCAGCAAGATGAGATCATAGCTTTGGATGGTGGTGTCGTTTAGCCTTCTCCACATAACCGTACAGGCTGGGAGTGAGGGGAAAAAGTAGAGAGGGGGAGAGAGGGAAAAGAAAAGGGAGAGGAAGGAGGAGGGGAGTGTAATGACTTTTCCAGATGTGGTTTTGCTCCCTTTCTGCCTGCCACCAAAAAGAAACCCAAAGGTAGAATATGCAGGCACATCTGGCCCTAAAACCTCACATTTTCCCGCCTAATAAAACACAGGAGTTTGAAAGTTTTATCTGTTTGAGGAATTTACTTCAATAATCTGCAGTTCTAGCATAAAGGGGTTCTATATAGGACTGAAAAAGGGCACTTTAGAACACATCTGGCAGTAATAGTGACTTGTGAAACCCTTTCTAGCTGTTAATAAACTCAAATAAGGCAACAAACATTATTAAGAATCTATAGGAATCAAATGCTGCTAAACATAAAATTATATGTAATTTTAACAAATTACTTCAAATTACATCCCATAATGAATAAAGCTTAATGCATAGTGTATAAACAGAGAACAAGACCTCAATATGCTCTTTAAAATGACTTGGTGCTGTATGAACTACACCAGGGGTGTCAAACTCAACCGCTAAAAAAGGCCATATTAAAAAATCTCAAGAAATCTGTGGGACAGCTGTGTTTTTATTTTATTTTCACTTAACGTTTTGCCGTGACCCCAACTGGCCAATGTTCAAAATAAGTCAAAACTTCAACGGCGAAAAATAGGCACTGAATATGTGAATGATTAAAAAATCATGTTAAATAAAAACAAATTGTTTTATATAAAACAATAGACTACATTAGCAGCAGATCACTGTTAAACCTTGTTAAATGTCCCCAGTGGACAGCAGTATTTTTTAAAACTGCCCATGCACTTGAACTAGACATCTGGCATCTTTATTTTTCTTTTATTGTTTTGTTTTTATGGTGCAGACCCATAGTTGTGGGAGAGGGGGTGGGGGCACACATTACTTTGCAGTGCATGCTGGGAACTGTAGTGCGGCTCATGGTGAAACGGGCTAAAATTAATAGAAAATTTAAATTATTCTGCGGGCCGAATGGGATTGCTGCCACGGGCCGGATTGGCCTGCGGGCCTTGTGTTGTGGAGATAAACACAATAAACACATAATTATAATAACTGCAACAATAATAAACCATAAAAAAACACAGAGAACCATTTATGTTATCAAATAATGGTTTTATACCATTGTGTCTATTAAAGAACCCTTAAAGAACCTCTGGTCCTGAGCGTACTTTTAAGTTTGGTTTATGCATTTACACTGCAAAAACACTGCAGGTATGCATTTTCTCTAAGCTATAAAAAGGTGAAATCGCTTGTCGCGTCTCTGTTAAAATGCACTGTGCTCTAGAAGAAGTGATATTCTTTGAAAATAGATCCAAAAATATTGAAGGGCGCTCCCTTCCTCCCCTCCTCCCCTCCTCCCCTCCTCCCCCCCAAATCTGTGCGAGACTTTGTACTTCAGTTAGTGAAAGAACACCCAGACATTCAATTATTAAAGGCAATGCCCTAAAACATATGAAAGATTCAGACAGTGTGGGCCAGTGACGCACTAAGGAGAGAAGATCTGAGAGAGAGACTCAATTATACTGCATGAGAGAGAGAGAGAGAGAGAGAGAGAGAGACAGAGAGGGAGAGACAGAGAGAGGGAAAGAGACAGTCAAAAAGGCAGAATGATGGAAAGAGAAAGAGAGAAAGACAAATAGGCAGAGAGAGAGACAGAGAGAGGCAAAAACACACAAAAGACAACACAGATTGTTGTGTTCTTACTGTGGCTGTGCCGGAGACGGTCTGTACGCCGGTGTGTTGTGTTCTGTGCTGTGTTCTTACTGTGGCTGTGCCGGAGACGGTCTGTACACTGGTGTGTGGTGTTCTGTGTTGTGTTCCTACTGTGGCTGTGCCGGAGACGGTCTGTACACTGGTGTGTTGTGTTCTGTGTTGTGTTCTTACTGTGGCTGTGCCGGAGACGGTCTGTCTGCTGGTGTGTGGTGTTCTGTGCTGTGTTCTTACTCTGGCTGTGCCGGAGACGGTCTGTACGCCGGTGTGTTGGGTTCTGTGTTGTGTTCTTACTGTGGCTGTGCCGAAGACAGTCTGTACACTGGTGTGTTGTGTTCTGTGTTGTGTTCTTACTCTGGCTGTGCCGGAGACGGTCTGTACACTGGTGTGTTGTGTTCTGTGTTGTGTTCTTACTGTGGCTGTGCCGGAGACGGTCTGTACACTGGTGTGTTGTGTTCTGTGTTGTGTTCTTACTCTGGCTGTGCCGGAGACAGTCTGTACACTGGTGTGTTGTGTTCTGTGCTGTGTTCTTACTCTGGCTGTGCCGGAGACGGTCTGTACACTGGTGTGTTGTGTTCTGTGTTGTGTTCTTACTCTGGCTGTGCCGGAGACGGTCTGTCTGCTGGTGTGTTGTGTTCTGTTCTTACTGTGGCTGTGCCGGAGACGGTCTGTCTGCTGGTGTGTTGTGTTCTGTGTTGTGTTCTTACTCTGGCTGTGCCGGAGACGGTCTGTACACTGTTGTGTTGTGTTCTGTGTTGTGTTCTTACTGTGGCTGTGCCGGAGACGGTCTGTACGCTGGTGTCTGCGCTGGGCTCGCTGTGTGTCTGCGCCGGGGGGTACATGTTCAGCGTGTGGTCGGGTACAGCGGTCTGGCCCGGGTACTCTGGAGCCGGGTGGGGGTGTGAAGCCGGGTACTCGGTGGGGATTCCGTTCTGAGGGGGGGCGAACTGGGCGGAGGGGTAAGGCTGGGCCATGGGCTCTGGGGGTGCTGGGGCGTCCTGATTACCCTACACAACAAACAGAAAGAGAGAGAGAGAGAGAGATTACAGCTACATCCTACTGGAGGTGTAGAGGATATCGGAGAAATTCCTTATTCATTTCAGTCACAAATGACCCAGTGGTTCGTTTGACTTAACTGAAATATGTCAACATTAACTGCCCCTGACCTAGTCATGCTCTACAAACCATTAACACATTCTTGTATTGCTATCAGCAGTATTTCAAATCTTCGAGTTAGTATTTCAAAATAATGCCTTTCTTCCTTGAAATTCTGACTTACAATGTCAAAATTTTGACTTGTTTTCTCTAAATATTAACTTACTATGGTGAAATCACAAAATAATTCCTTATTTTTTTAATTTGATAACTTACTGTTTTGACAGAGTAAGTCAAAAGTGTCGTAGTTACTCATATTCTCCAGAAAATAAGTTATAATTTTAAGATACTACGCCAGCATATTTTGATAAAATTGTTCATAACGCTCCATCTATAAATGCATTCTTTCATAGATACTGTTACGAGGCCGGACCCACATTTTCAGAACATTGATAAAAATCTCATTCAGTCTAATGAGAAACTGCAGAGCGGCTCAGTTTTTGTCAAACCACAGTAATACAACTTTAATACTTTTACTTCAAAGTAACACCTTCAACAGAGTTTAGTTCAGAGCGACAACTAACAAGCTGCCACTGCTTTTCTTACTAATTCACCTGATTTTCAGCCCATCGAGGACGTCTGAGATGTTAATTAGCCAGAGCAGGTGTGGCAGATCACGGCTGGACCTAGACCAGAGTAGACTGAACCATGGTTGGTGACCACTAAGTCATAGCTATGTTCTGCATTCTCACATTAGATCAATAAATAAATAACAGAATTTTGAAGGCCACAATGTTATTGATGGTGTTAAATAATCAGTTATAACAGAACCGGAAGGCTAAACTGAATAAACACAGCTGCTAGGACATGTTTTGAAAGCTTTTCTTAATGTATAAGATGTTTTTGCTCTTCTCTTGAGTTTGGCAAAAGCTTAATTTACCAACTAGCCAGCTGTAGATGCCCATATGCACAGATATGGTCGGTGCCAGACGGAAGGCTGAATCTGTGGAGCAGACTCGCCAGGGTATCCAATTCCAACTTAGCCAGCATCAGTCCTGCTTTCAGGCCAATGCAGAAACAAAAGTTTCACAGCTTCAAACTCTGGCTCCCAGGGACGATCTGGAGAATCGAATTACACTGCTGGTACGTGTAGCGGCGCTAACAAATGAACAAGCACGTCTGGCGAGAAACGCATTCCGTACACAACATCTGCAACCTTTATTTCAGGCGGAGCTTTCTTATTCGATCAGGCCTCATTCGGCCGCCGCCGAAGCACCTGGATTATCCACTTAGGCATGGAGGCGTCTCCCCCACCTCGCTCCAGGTGGACGGCAAATCCATCGCAAATTTCCACTTTGCATGCTGAGACAGAAAGGCTACAACAGCTCTGCATTAGCGCGTCCTGTCGACAAACAAAGCTGTATTAGATGAGTGAGAACCCACCACGGGCTCAAGCTGCATGTCCTGCTGCTGCAAAACGAGCGCTAAAAAAGCGCCGTGCGCATGCAAATCGATGACACCGGCACAGGCTGCTTTATGCAGATGGCGCACTCGATACGTTATCCATTTTAAAGAGGGGGCTGCTTTACACTTTCATACGTTTTCCTCTGAGTTTTTATGCAGTCATGCAGGCCAGCTTGTGTCCCTGCGGTGTTGTGTACCAGCAAAAGTGGATTACTTACTGCTGAAAGTACACTTAATGTAAAACGCCACATTAAAAAAATTTATCTGCAGGGGGGGCCACAAGCTGTGACATCATCGTCTGGCCATTTGCATCTCTCAACCTTGGAAAGGGAACATTCAGATCCAGCACCTGACACACGTACTCGCGCTCCATCACATGAACACATACCCTGGCACATGCACACAGCAGCTCTCTTCTCTTCAACCCCATCACTGTGAGGGCACAATGAAAAAGCCACATCTTGCACTTGTTTAAATAACTTCCATACCATTTTTGGTGGGGGTGTGCCAGATATACTGGATCAAGCATAAACTTACACAAAACGAAACAAAGAAAACTGAACTGAAAATTTAAAATGAACCCCTTAAATAACCAGGGCCCAAAGTTTTACACACTTCTATAAAAGTTTTACACACTTCTATTACCTACAAATAGCTCAGCCAGTTTGCACTGAAGTCCCTGTAGTTACTGAATAATAAGCCTTAGTAGGTAATAAGCCTGGGATTTTAATGGGTTTACTAACACTGCAAGTCAGCAGTCACCCAAATGTTTTCCACAAATACATGGCAAAGTCTTTGCTTCGATGAGCTGTGCAGACAATTTGGTAAAATGGCATAGAATGGAAAAACTTTTTTACTACATTTATGTAACTAGAACTACACTATCATCTGCATAACGTCTCTCTTTCCGGTACTATTCCGCCTTCGAACTCTGTGTTGTGAAGCCCCATCTTTGGTTGCCTTTCATGGAATGATACTCAACTGAGCATTCAACTAAATATCCATTAATGCAACTGAACTTCAAGTTCAGTGTGAAAGAGTTTAATAAATCTGTCTTAACCCTAAACCTAACCTCAAGGCTAAACCTGCATCTATTCCCACCCTAAACTTAACCAAAATATTGCTGATAATCAACTGAGGATCACCAGAAAGTTTGCTAATGATTCAAAGCATCTGTAGAGCATCTATAGTGGACCATCCAAATAAAGTGTGACCGACTTGTCTGTGCGACCTGAATCAAGACCCCGGTGCAGTCTTGCGGACTGCTTCCCTCAATCCGCAGAGTTCTAGACATTTACAGAAGCGGTATTTAAGGGTTCTTCAATAAAGACAATGGGTCTATATAAAAGTGTGAACACTCAAAGAAAAGAACAAAGAACTATTTGTATGCTTAAATGGTTCTCTGCATGGTGAAATAGTTCTTCAGACTGACGGACAAGGTGTTGTAAATGCTTCTGTATAGAACCTTTTTGAAAAAAAAGGTTCTACATAGCACCAAAAAGGGTTCTTCTATTGTTATGATGTCAAGCTTGTTATCATAGAAGAACCCTTTTTTGGTGCTATAGAGAACTATTTTCAAATATATACAACACACTCTTCATTAATCTGAAGGACGATTTCACCACGCAAAGAATTTACCCATGCAGATGGTTCTTCAAGTGTTCACGGTTCTATATACCATTATCTTTACTAAGGAACCCCTGAAGAACTTTCTTTTTTAAGAGTCAAGCGCTAAACTAAAGAAGCACAATTTGGACACCAAACATGTCTTGGCTGATCGACTGTATTTGCGGTAAGTGAAAATTATGTAAATTAGATTTCCCTTTGAAGACTTCCTTTAATTCCAACAGATTTCAGTAGCTCTCCACACATGGGGCAGTAAAAAAGAACAGACAGAAAGAAGGCGGCAGCTGAAGAAGATAAACTCAAGAAAACGAGGCCCACAACAGTCACAGCGTGGTGCATTACACGATATACAAAGGCAGATGTAGCAGTTCACAGCAGCACTACAGCGATGCACAAACCAAACGAAACAAAAACTCCCAAGTTATAAAGCGATCTCTGCTCCCGCTGATAGTGGGTAAGTGATATCATTAATTAGCCTATTTATTCGTTTTATTATTTTATTTATATATTAATCAGCATTAATTAGTGGCTAAGGTCAGCTCAGTAAGAGTAACATTACACTACATGTTGGAAAACAACGTCTCATACAAGACAGGAACAGTTCAGTGAGGGCGTTTACATGCAACCAAATACTTAGATCAGAGTAAAGTGTAGAAATCCGATTAAGAAATCTGATAAAGAGAGCTGGATTTTAGCTCAGTAATCAGATTTCTCATACATACATCCATCATCTAAACCGCTTATCCTTCTGGGTCGCGGTGGGGTGCTGGAGCCTATCCCAGCTGTCATTGGGCGGAAGGCAGGATACACCCTGGACAGGTCGCCAGTCCATCGCAGTCAGATTTCTCAGTGCATGTGAACTCTTACTCTGATTTCTTTCGGATTTCTCAGTCTGCGCATGTGTGAAAACAGACAGCGGTACTGGAAATAAGCGAGTAGCGTCGCCACGAGACGCAGCAAAACACTTTTGGAGAAACCAAATACATGCTTGACAAAATGAAGGATTTAAATATTCTTCATTTTCTAGATGATGTATGTTCATATTTTCAGGTAACGTGGTGCGATGTTTTAAAAAAAAAAGCCACGTCTACTTCTGTGAGTTTATTGGCTGGTTGTAAAGTAGAAATCCGATTACTGTCTAACCCTTGTAGACCCAGAGTTTCCCCATTATCTGATTACTCAAGAGCAGGTGAACACGTTGATCAGATCACTGACAAAATCTGATTTAATCGGATTATTAAGTGCACGTAAACACACTTGGTGATCTTTAGTTCAGTTTAGTAAAATTAATGGCAATTCTCAAATTTGTTTTAGGATGCTTTCAGGGTGATGTTCATGTAAAATCTGTACAATATATCACAAACACGTCAGCCACAATCACAGTAATGTTTAATGCAGAAACCTTTAGCTAATGATGTATGAGATCTGGTCTAAGACGATATTCTCAACTAAAAATCATATAAACGGTGACAAAAAAAGGGAAATAGATCAATGATTAGAATCTAGAATTGAGAAAACAGGTTAAAAGTCTAAGAGTGAGTGGATGATACATTATGAAGTAAGATAAAGTTTTTATATTTATTTTATTAACGGTCTGGATACTTTAATAAACAAATCAAATCAAATCTATAAAATATGAATTTCCTGTATAATTGATTTCTTCATGAAGCAGGAACCATAAGGAATCATAAGCCTATTAATTTAAAAAGATGATAGATTAACCAAATTATGGAAGTAATCGTCAGTAGCAGCAAAATCGTGTGGGTGATGACTGAACCTCACTGGGTTAACACACAGGTGTGCGTCTGTGAAGCTGGAGGAGGGCTGTGAATCCCACACACTGAGTAGTTTGATGCTAAGTGCACACATGAGTAGCTCCTCATACACCATAAACAAAACACACGTTCCTCTCTTCTCTCCTTCTCTTCTCTATTCTCCTCTTTCTTTTCCTTTTATCCTTTGCTCTCTTTCCTCCCCCATCCCCCTTTCCAGTCTGCCCTCTCCTCTTTTCTCCTCTCCACCTCCAGATCACTGAAAGAGCAGGTAGTGAAGAAGCTCCTCTCTCCTGAAGCCTGAGGGAGTGGAGGGGAGCTCAGAGGAGGCGCTGTGAGGTGCTTCTCTCTAAACGACTCCTTGTGAAAAAACTCTCCCTGCTGCTCGTGAAGCAGATGTTACACGCATCACACTGTTTGCTATTAACGCCATCAGCACTTTCCACGGCACCTTCACTTAGATCCGAAAGCAGACGCCTCGCGCCCGTAATTAGGATATCATCTGATTAGGAGTGCTAAACTCTTTAGGAACAAGTGTCAAAAATACAGGGAAGGGGAGGGTGAGGGGGCAGAGCGGGAGACAGAAAGAAAGAATGAATGAAAGGCAAAGAAAGAGAGAAAGGAAAAAAAGCAAAGAACGAAAGAAAAAAAGAAAATGACAGAAAGAAAATGACAGGCAAAAATAAAAGAAAAAAGCAACAAAATGAAAGAATGAGAAACAAAGACAGAAAAAAGAAACAAAAGAAATAAAAAGAAGCTTAAAAAATAATGAATTGAAGAAAAAGATGGAAAGAATGAATGAGAATCACAAACACGAAAGAAAGAAAGAAAGAAAGAAAGAAGGGAACAAAATCACAGGCGGAAAGCAAGAATCAGAATCATTGAGAAGAAAGAAAGAAAGAAAGTAAATCACGGACTGAAAGAAAGAAAGAATGAAAATCACTGAGAAGAAAGAAAGAAAGAATGAAAATCACTGAGAAGAAAGAAAGAAAATCACAGACAGAAAGAAAGAAAGAACAAACATCACTGAGAAGAAAGAAAGAATGAAAATCACTGAGAAGAAAGAAAATCACACAGAAAGAAAGAAAGAACAAACATCACTGAGAAGAAAGAAAGAATGAAAATCACTGAGAAGAAAGAATGAAAATCACTGAGAAGAAAGAATGAAAATCACAGACAGACAGAAAGAAAGAATGAAAATCACTGAGAAGAAAGAATGAAAATCACAGACAGACAGAAAGAAAGAATGAAAATCACTGAGAAGAAAGAATGAAAATCACTGAGAAGAAAGTAAGAAAGAATGAAAATCACTGAGAAGAAAGAAAGAAAGAATGAAAATCACTGAGAAGACAGAAAGAATAGCAAAGAAAGAAAGAAAGAAAAAGAAAAGCAGGCAAGAAAGGAAGAAGGAAAAAAGAAAGAAAGAAATAAAGAAAGAAAGAAAGAAAGAAAGGAAGAGAAACGGTAAAAGGAGTAATGCACTACACAATGAATGCACTGAACTGACTTGCTTTAAATATGTACATAAATTCCAGATGAATAAAACATTTTCCATCATACTGTAATACGTTTTGTTCACGCGTAAACAATTTATACATTAAAATCAAGTCAATTCAGTTCATGACATTTTTCAGTAAAGGAAGAGAGAGATAGAAGGTAAGAAAGAAGAATGGAAGAAGAAAAAAGAAAGAAAGACAATGCAAAAGTAATGCACTGAATTAAGTTCAATTCGAATGTGTTCATCATTTCCATATAAATAAAATATTAAATCTTATTGTATGTTTGCTTGTTAACATATAAACAATGTACACATTTAAATCAAGTAACCTCAGTAAATCGCTGTCTCCTGTATTCAGTAAAGAAAGAAGGAGCGAAGGAAAGAAAGGTAAAGTAGGAGGCTGAAGTGTGCGAGGGGGCGTGGAGGCTGCAGACGCCGCGGTTAGCTGAGGCTTCTGGGATTCGGGCTGCAGCCGGCCTGCTACCTCCAGTCTGTGGGAGCTCAGCGGAGGCCTTTTGTGAAATCGCTGTTGGCCAGCGGAGGCAAAGAGAAAAGAGATGGCAGACAGTCAGGCTTAGCTAAACGCTCCGGCCTCCTCCCTAATGAGAACCACATTTGGAGGCTGAAATATGTTTTACGTGGCAGTGCAGCAGATCCATCACCGCGCGGCTCTCGGCTCTCGGGCGAACGCTTGGAAAACAGACGCGGGGCTATAAAACACGAGCGAAAGGTCTTTTCACGACAATGCGCAATTATAATCTCACGCGAAGAGGAGGCTGTCTGCTGCCATCCTGCTCCTTATGAGGATGACTTTAATGGAGGCATATAAAGCCCTTTATAAAAGCTTTATTTTGGACCGTAAAGGGACACAGCTTGGCTACATCACACAAACACTTCATCTAGTTCATCTCAAACACTTAGTGGAACGCTGCCTCCAGAACGCTGCGACTGCTGATTTTAACCCTAACGCAGGGGCCGCAACCCAAATGTCAAGAAGAGCCATTTTGTCAAGTTTCAACAAAAATTTAACCACCTTGGGAGCCACAACGTTTCACCATCTTGGCCGTAAATTTGTCTCAGTATGTGCTGATGTCCTAGTACAGGCTAAAAAATATAAACGAAAGCAGACTTACTTTGCTCTGCTTTAAGCTTTGGCTCAACTACAGCTGCTTATCTCGCATCTCCAGCAGGAAACCATTCCGCAAAAGTAGAACTGCTTCATGTTGTTTCTTAACATTCGATTTTTTACGAGGCTGAAGTCGCTCCTCATTCGCCAGCTTCTCGTTCGAATTTTCCCCGTTCCACCTTAAATGGCGCCTCAGCGGCAGAATGTAACTGCGGCACCATTTAAGGTGGAATGGGAACATTCGAACAAGAAGCTGGCGAATGAGAAACACAGCCTCGTGACTTTTTAGTGTTCGACAGTTGCAGATTAAACATGTGAAACCAGCTGGAGTGATTATAAATGTAAATAAGTTTACTCGTCTCCAAACCATCAATGTTCGTCTTAAATCTCTCTCTTTGTCGTTTCGTTAGCTGCTAGCTAGGTGACATTGTTGTCTGTGTTGCTATGGTGACCAGCAGTCTGCGCTGATCTACAGGGATAAGGGTGAATTAGCAGTTCTACATTAACTCCAGAGTTTAAGACCATTTACTGTTAAACTGTGTTGAACGATCAGCAGAGCTTTATTTTAAATCTAATTCAGTAGGCAGTAAAAGAGCCGCATGGGCGTCCAGTATTCGCCTTTGTCCTACTAGAATCGTTCAAGCTGCCTCCAGAGAAGACGTGAATGTCCACTTTGGTCAGTAAAATGGATCAGCATGTGGAATTTTGGAGCTTTCTGAGTGGCAGTCTGTTTTCTATCACTGTAAAAAAGTAGCTGCCTCTATTGGATGCACTGTGATAGTTTCAAAACACAGGTCAGCTACGGAAATGCCCATTACTGATTTAATTTTTGTCAGAAGAAAAAAACAAAACAGCAACTTTGCAGGAGAAGGCGAAAACGTTCTTAACTCTCACCGTAAGCTGATCCAAAGAGATTTGATTCCAAGTTATTTTGGAGCATTTCTATTACTCCAATCACTGCAAAATTTTCACACAATTTAAAAAGATATTTTTTTGAAAAGGAGATTTTTTTGTTTCATGAGTGAAATCTGAAGTACATTCACACTCTTATTGTAAGTGACATGAAATAAACACTCAGCATTGCTAGATCACATTGTTTACACATCAAAATAAATGCAGCTTTGTGAAATCACATTATTAAAAAGGGGAAAATTGAGAGGCTGAACGATTTGGCAAAAATGTCTAATTGTGACTGTGATTTAAATGAGATTAATTTCTATAATCGAAGCTCCAGGCCTGTGTTTTATTTTGCCAAGAAGAAATACAACCACTTTTTCAGGCTTGAGATTAAACGCTGAGTGCAGTGTGCCAGACTGCCAGCTCATGAGCTCTGCATTCTTAGACTAAATACCCCACTTAGGACCAAACTTACGACAACAGTGAATAATGTAGGACATAATTAAAACTGCAGCACTTGCGGTTTGAAAATCGCACTCTTCCAAACTACGATATAAAACTGGTTGACTGAAGTTGCCTTTTTTGCCTCGCTATTAAATAGTTAACGCGAGTAGAAGCCGTTTGGCCGCGCTGGCTCTCAAAGTGCTGCTCTGGACGGCGGTGTTTCTTTTCCACGCTCTGCCAAAGCGAAGCGTTTGAAGCTGAAAACGCCTCTCGCTGGCTCTGCTGCTAACTGCACAGCCTGGCTGCTTGAAATGACTGTCGCTGCAGCTGGCTGCTAAATTTGTAATTTCAGCCACCGACACGAACCTGGAGAACGACTAGAAAAGGAGAGAAACAGAAACAGAGAGAGAGAGAGAGAGAGAGAGAGAGAGGGAGGGAGGGAGAGAGAACAGTGCAGGCTGGAAGAAAGCAAACCAGCTGCTGAGACTAAGACAGCCTGAAAAGAGTAGCTGAAGGGGGCTCCCTCTTTCTTTAAGGCACACTTTCTCTCTCTCTCTCCCCGACTCTCTCTCTCTCTCTCTCAGACACACTCGCCGACCGCTTTAGTCTGCAGCCACAGCACAAAAGGGAAACGCAGAGGGGGGAAAAAAGAGAAAAAAACTACAGGAATACGCTTGGTAAGCAAAATAAAAGGGAAAAAATACCTGCTCCACCATCTTGCTCCCTTTTTCCTCCATAAACTAAGCAGCTGCCTCAGTCCCGAGCCCTGCAGCATCGGCCCAGAGCAAGCATCAATTATAGATGAGGGCGTGTGTGTGTGTGTGTGTGTAGTGAGAGTGAAAGTGTGTAAATGTGTGTGTGTGTGTGTGTGTGTGTGTGAGGGAGAGAGAAAGAGAGAGAGAGAGTAGGAGGGAAAGGGAGGGGTGGTGAAGGAGGAGGGAGCTAATGCAAGCAAAAGCTATGCTCTGATTTTTTTTCCTTTTTAACTCCTTCTCTTGTTTTCCTTTCCCCTTTAACTCTTTTCCTCTTTCTCCCTTTCCCTCTCTCTCTCTAGCTCCCCCAAGCATTCTTCTGAAGTGTATAGGAATCTATGAAGTGATCTATCTATCTATCTATCTATCTATCTATCTAACTGTCTATCTATCTATCTATCTATCTAGCTCACACATATATAAATGTGTGTCTATGTATATAAGTATAAATAGGTATATATACTCACTTCATACTTATAGATATATATATATGTATATATATATATATAGAGAGAGAGACACATACATATATATGTACATACATATAAACATATATATATATATATATATATATGCACACACACACAAATATGTGTGCGTGTCTATGTATATAAGTATAAATGTGTATATATACTCATTTCATTCTTCATACATTTATATATATGTACATACATATGTGTGTGTGTCTACATATGTCTATAATCATGAAATTTACACACAATGTAAAGGGCAACAGACCATTTCAAATTATGTCAAAAAAAGAAATACGAAAAATGGAGATATGAGGTTTTGTTCTGATGGAGGTGAGATCTGGAACAAAACCTGTTTCCAAACTAGCTCACAAGACATCAGTCTCTTTTTTGAAAAGAAGTTCTGGTTACTTTTTACTGTATTTAAGTTTATTCACTTTATTTTATTTTTATGATATATGGTGGCAGAAGTCAGAGCGTACCCTCATTTATTTAATCATCAGTCAAAACAAGTTGTTCATTTTTAGAAGATCATTCTGAGGAGATTAGGTATTACATAATAACTTGCATAACTTACATAAGGAAGGAGGAGGTCTAAAGAAAACAGGTGAAAAAAAGGAGTTTCCAAAACTGGAGTTTCAAAAAATGATTAAAAGCTACAGAGAAAACCAGCCTGCTAACAACCACCTGGAAGAGCTGGTAGACAGTAAAACTGCCCCCATCAGATAAACAGCACTTAAAGCTTTCATCTCTGAGAGAGAGGAGAAAATCAAGCTGCTTCAGATCTGAAAACATCCACAGGTGTTTCTGTCCATCCTTCCACTGTGAGAAGACGACTCACGCTGTGGGTCTGAAAGGATGTGTAGCTGTCAAGAAGAACCTCACTGAGAAAAGGAAGTAAGATGTAGATGTAGCTAGCGTGCACACACATTCACACGCAATTCAGATTGTTATGGAAATGCTTACTGTTGCTTTGTTTCATCAGAGTTAAGGCCGTTACACTCCGAGCTTGAATTTGTGGTTTATTTTGGATGTCAATTAATTAATCAAACACGTGTGACTGATGATGTCTTAGACGCCAGATATGAACTTTCAAATGGAGAAAATGAGACATTATTTTATTCACCCTCTGTTTGATTTCACAGGCAAAATAAACTCACTCTACCAATCACTGTTGTCTCTGGTGTTGGCATGGCCACAACCAAGCTGACGGATCAACTGTACCCCAGCAACCAGACCTTTCTGACAAACGTCAGAAGCATTAGTTTGTCTTCTGCTTCTTGGTGTATGGCGCACTGTTAGAATAAAGGTTCTGTGCTGGTACATTTTTCAGTGGTTTTAAGGTCCAGTTGTGTATCTTAAATAAGTTATTCCTAGTCAAAAATTGTATATTTGTACCTTTTCATAATGTTTTAAAACAGAACAGTAAAATAAAAGCCTGGAGACGAGACAGGGTGTGTGGAGTCAGTACAGCTTAGAAAATATCATTTCAATGAATTATGGTTCAGTTATGTTCCCTGACTAAAGGTACTGAGATGTACCCTTGAAGGAACCTCCCCAGTGATAAGAGGGGTCCTGTCCCAGTGACAGTTCAGTACCTTTATTTCTGAGAGTGCGCAGTCATCTCCAAAAGCAGCTCAAAGTGAATTATGGACATCAGCACTGAATTCAAAAGCAGTTATTAAGTTTCAGCAAAACTAAAATCTACACATTTTTGGCTTTTTAGATCATGTTCTTTACATATCAATATAAATATAATGACAGCAGAGTATATTAAGAGGTAGGAACAGTCCCTGAATCAGTCCAAAGTCTGTAAGCTGTGCTAACTTATGCATTTCACACACTCCAGAAGCCACATCAAGAGAAACTCAAGCATGTCTTCATCCAAATCCTGGTAAAAGCTTTTCTTACTCCGTCCACTTATGTGAATACTGAAGCTGCGTCAAAACTGACCAGCAGCTCTTAACAGCAGACGTGTTACTCAGCACAACTGAAGCCCGGCTGTCCGCGCGTGAAGACTGATCACCTGTGATATTCAAGCCATCCTGGTTGATTTAGTAAAGCCATAAAGCATGTGGCCCTCTCGTATATCAAACACCGCCACTGCTGCCGCACCAAGCCACCGTCATTTCCAGTACTGTGCTGAAAGTGCATTACGCTGAAAAAAAGTCAGGCACTGAATTTGCTTGCTTGGTTCACATGCGTCATTTCTACACTAATAAAAATATTTCAATAGAATTTGTGTGGAAATTAAGTAAACATATCTGAATCAAGTAAATTCAAAGCGGCACCTTTTACAGGGCATCTCAATAAGGCAAAATGAGTCGTAAGATATGGATCTGGCAGATATATTATTGGTATTTTTGTCATCATCAATGCAGCACAATTATAAAAGTAGGGGCTTTTATTCTCCTTAAATTTAAGGCTTTAATTAGACTAAACTATTTATGCTGACGAGGGTGACATAAATACTCTACAGCTTTTTTAGGTCTTTGCATGAGGAGCACGAAAATAACCAAAGTTCAGGTTTGAATGTGTACAGGGGTTCAAGTACTTAATTAACCTACTGAAATCACTTATTTCTTAGGATTGTTACATTTTATCACAGGAAGAAAGTATCTGCAATTAAGTGTGTAACGCTTTGCTACTACGAAACACAAGTGCCTTAATGTGAGTGCACTACAAAGGATTATTAAGGATAAGGACTGAGAAGGCAGAGACAGTGCAGCTTTGGACTAGTTTAACTACTTTAGCTGACGTTAGCTGGATCCAGAAACAGTGAGTGTGTTCACATGCACTTAATAATCCTATACAACTGATATAACTGCAGAAAATCAGATTCTGTCAGTAATCCAATGAATGTGTTTACATGCAGTTGAGTAATCAGATAAATGGGAAACTCCAGGTCTACATGAGTCAGACAGTAAGATTTATGCTTTACAACCAGCCAATAAACTCACAGAAGAAGACGTGATGTAAACGTAACATAAAACTCAAACTTTATGATGCTGTTTTTAAATATTGTGCCACTTTACCTAAAATTATGAACATACATCATCTAGAAGATGAAGAATAATTAAACCCTTCATTTCGTCAAGCATGAAGTCGGTTTCAGGCTGCTCGCTTATTTCCAGTACTGCCGTCTGTTTTCGCACATGCACAGACTGAGAAAAACGAAAGAAATCAGAGTAAGAGTTTACAGCACTGAGAGATCTGATTACTGAGCAAAAATCCAGCCTCTTTATCAGATTTCCTAATCAGATTTCTAGACTTTACTCTGATCTAAGAAATCAGAGTGTGCTGTTTACATGACCGTTTGAATAATCAGATAAATGCAGAAGTCTGATTATGATCGGATTATTGACTGCATGTAAACACACTCAATGAAAATATATCTCTCTGACAAACTAACATGTTGACACATCACCCACTGCCGGGAAAGGACCACCTGAAGTAGATGACGAGTCCTCAGTCCTCAGTCCTCTGTTAGCTCACTAGCTCATCTGAAGAGGCAGCCTCTACTACTCACCTAATGAATATTAGCCTTTGTTTTGCTGTTGTCGAGGACTGTTTTGTCTCCAAATGCCGAACAGCTTCATAGCCTCATTTGTTAGCTTCTCCCTGCGTGTCACACACAGTGGCAGTTTTATCACCTGTCGGTAAACCACTCTGAGTTGCCACCAGTACAAAAAGTGCTCTATAAACATTTTTTATGGCATTGGCATGTGGCATACTCTCTTATCCAGAGCGACTTGATTATTTTACACAGGTAGGCAAAGGTAGTGTCAGGAGTCTTGCCCAAGGACTACTGGTACAGTGTAGGGTGCTTACCCAGGAAGGGGACTGAACCCCAGTCTACAGCGTACCGACCACAGCTGATCATTTTAAATAGCTTATCATTTTTTTTTTAAATAATATAAATAATATTTTTATTCTCCTTATTATTAGCATCCCAAGCACCAATGAATCTGTATTTTAATTAGCTGTCATATTTTCGACTGAATGATTTATCTTCTTGGTATCACTTTCATTCTTGTGTTTGATGTTCTTTCTGATATAAATGGCCCCAATAAAACTTTGCTAACGTTGTCAGCCGTATTTCTGACTTAGGCTATCCAGTAAGTGGCTACAACCTACACGCACACTCGAGAGAAACCATGCAAAGACGTGACGTGGGCCGATATATTTAAAATTCGATTAAATTAGTTTATGAACATCTTAACGGCAATAATTAAGTCTTATGTAAAAAGAACAGTATAATAATATGAACTACATTAATAATGATATAATATAATTATAATATAAAAATAGTGAAGTTAGGCTACTAACTCCTCTCCTGCTGCTGCACAGTTCCGGCCCGGTATTAAACATTCCCCGTCCCAGTTTTCGGGAACCTCTGCTCTCGTGGACACATACGGTCTCTTCAGTGGCTGCTTAAACTGTGCTAAGATGAGCGGGAGAGTTCCTGAGAGAGGTTTTAGCATTTCAGAGAGAGATTTGAAGATTAGGATGAGAAAGGTGAAGGCACAATGTCCTTACTCTCCCCTCTCTCTCTCACGCACACTCTGGTCTGCACAGCGAAATCCCGGGCCAAGTCTGGGCGGAAAATCGGCCCCCGCTGGCTCC